TGGGCAGTGACAAAGCCAGGAGCCAGGAACTCCAGCCAGGTCTGCCATATGGGTTACAGTTAAGCATAGTATTACAGCCAGGTATTTGGTTGATCATCCACTGCTTCCAGGATGCCTAAGTAGGAAGTTGCTTTAGAAGCAGCATAGCTGGGGACCAGCACATTAGCTCAACTGCCTAATCATCTACCACAAGTGCTGGCATCCCATAAAGGCACTAGTTCGTGTTCTGGCTACTCTACTTTTGATTCAGCTCCCTGCTTATGGCCCGAGAAAGCAGTGGAGGATGGCCCAAAGCCTTGGGGCCTAACTTGTGTGGGAGACCCAGAAGAAGCTTCTAGCTCCTAGCATGCGATCAGCTCAGTTCCCAGTTGTTTTGGCTATTTGAGGAGTGAACCAGTACAATTTTTAAAAAACAAAAGACCAAAAACAAGACAAAACAAAACAAAAAACCCCAGCAGCGGCATAGCTCAAAATTGAGAGCTGGCAGCCCCATATGAGATGTGAGCATCCTGAGTAATGGTTTCATCTGTGTGTTATCATGTTTGAATTAGTCATTCTTTGATCTGTATCTCCAGGCACCTCTCTACTGAACCCCAGGTTTTTCAATCTATAGACTTGAATTTGCCATGGCTTCTTTAAACTCCATATGTTCAAAATGAAATTCTTTTCTTTATGTGCCAAAACATAGTTTTCATCCATTGTTCCCTATTTCAAGTCATGTCATTAGTACCCACCGATATACTCAAACCTTAACCTAGGAAAGGAACAATCTTAATCCTACTTTTTCCTAAAAAGCAAAAATATGGACTTGGCAGTGCTGCTTTGAGGATTTGTTCCTATAGACAGTCCTACTTTCATACAGACTTATGATATGCAGGGTTACTCATTGTAATGTGTGTTAGCATAATAAAAGGTTGGAAACAACCTGAGTAACTATGTAAGGAACTGAAGAGAGGAAACCATGAGACTTCCATGCACTGAAAATACTATAATGTGAGCCTAAAATAGTTGTGGAAGCTGTATACTAAGAAGATCTCAACGATATGATGGTAAATGAAAAAAAATGAGAAACAGGACAGGATGCATATGCTATCTTTTGTTATGAAAGAGAGTGAAATAATGTATTATTTACATTTATATAAACAAATACTAGAATACATAAAACAGAATGACTAGTTCGTGTTACTGTTGAATTTTTTAAAATCACCAGATGAGGCATCTCTCCTATTACTGTATTTATGTGCAAACAAAGGTTTTAGCTAAACTGAGCACATTCTGAATGAATAAGGTACATATGTGTAGATTTTTGGTGTCGGACATATCTTCTGTTTTCCCTTGAAGTCACATTGCAGCCTTTTGTTAGTATCTTCTCTAACTTGCTTGTATGTAAGAGCACTACTCTCTGTTTCCTTTGTGATAGGTTATCTCTTAGTTCAAAACCAGTTATGATGTTTGGAATTGATTTCGCTTCTCTCTTTTTGAACCAGTGAAATCTGATGTTTTCTGTTTTTGGCTTCTGGTTTTGTTCGTATGTTTTATTAGCAATGATTTTTTTTTTCCTTCCATATGATACTACAGCATTACAAATCACCCAGACATGCAATGTATGTTTAAATACATCTCCAGTATTACAGAGAATATATGGCCCTAGTGCTAGGCAACTGTGTAGATTGCCTTGTACCTAAGCAATTGTTACATTGCTGGGGAAAATGTAGCCAAGGTTGGTGGGCATTCTGGGCCTGGTTAATGCCAAATTTGTATTAAATATTCCAGTGCAGCATAGTTGTCTATTTTTTCTTTTTTTAATGTATGTGGGGAAGGCAAGGAATGCCAGGGCAGAACATGCCACCCTGGCCCCCAGGTATGCCACACACCCCCACACAGTGGAGGCAGGCAGCAGCAACAGGACTGCAGTTCCCCAGGGAAGGAGGTCTGGGGATGTATTGGAGTAGGGGCACTGAAGGCATGTTTGGCAGGTGAGGAATAACTTCAGGGGGGCTTCCGTAGGCCAGGCCATTACACTTGCAGGTATCAAGGGAGCTGTGGCAGGGTGGTTTAGAGGGGAGAGCCAGGAGGGCATTTCTGGGTCAGGCCAAGGCAGTCACCCATGTGGGAGATCAGGGCTGGGCTAAGTGGCATTGTGTGCTGCCCGCAAAAGGTGGGGGTGGGGACATGCCCTTGCTGGCCTAGGCTGAAGCACCTGCCTAAGAATGTCAGTGCAGGGGGGTCGGCAATGTCAGGCTGGACTGCAATACCAGCTAGAATGCGAGAGAACTGGCAGCAGATTCTGTAGGGCACTTGTGGGTTTACCTCTGTGGTACTGCAGACCAACCGGTGGTGATTGGCTGAGCCAGGCTGGACCATGAAACTCAAGTGACAGGAACCCACCTGACACTAGCAGGAACGTGCTGGGAGCAGGCTGGGCTGGGTGGGGTCAGGTTGCAGTACCTACTTACACATGCAAAAGACAAGACCGAGTGCAGGCAATGCCAAGTAGCACCATGGCACCTGCTGGCATGTATGAGATCCAGGCTGGAAGTGGCCCTGGTAGGGGAACATAGGGAACTGCCCTGCTGTGCCGCAACTCCTGCTGGCATGCACAGGAGTTAGGACAGTGTGTGGGCTGCACCTAGCTGGACTAGGCTGCAACACTCACCTATATAAGAGCTGAGACTGCAGGTGGACCATGCCAGGCTGAGTTGAAGCACCCACCAGCATGCACATGATCCAGGGCTGAAACACCCACCAGCATGTGCAAGATCCTGATAGTAGAATTTTAAGGATTCCCTTGCTGGTCTGTTGCTTCCACTGGTGAGCAAGAGAGCTGGGTCTAGTGCCAGTCAGACTCGGGTAGGCTACCTCACTCCGTGGCACACACAAAAGCCAGAATGTGTGCAGGCCAGTTGGTCTAGGCCACAATATCCTCTGTCAAGTCTGGGACTGGGTGCAAGTTGTGCCAGGCTGGACTGCAGTACCCGCTGGCAGGCTCAGGATCTGGGACTTGGTAGGATTGGGCCTGGTAGGGAAACTGGATATTCCTCTTCAGGGCTGCAGTTCCCGTTGGTGATTACAGAAGTCCAGGATGTTGGGCTAGGTAAGATGGCAGCACCCTTGGGCATGTGTGTGGACTTAGCTCTGGGGTCGAGCTAAGTTGTGGCACTCATGGGTGTACACGAGAGCCATAGGATGCTAGACAGACTGGGCTAAACTGCGGCACCTGTTGGTACACACAAAAACCAGGGCTAGGGGGTGAGCCTTAGGGGTTACCCTGACTAGGCTGCAGCATCCACTGGTGTGTGTGAAGACCAGGCCTGGGTTTGACCAAAACACCCATCAATTCAGAACTGACTGGGGGCAGAACTGACCAGACAGCTGCATACACCAGTATATGCATTAGCTGGTGCAGGTGAAAGTTCAAACATAACCCTGCATTAACTGGTGCACACAACCTCACCCCAGGTTAGGTTTCTTGGGGGATTTTCTAACTAAGAAGGTGGATTCAAACCCTGGCCACAGGGTTTAGCCACAGGCCTACAAAGTCACTACATATGTGATCTGACCTTGGAGTGCATGTCCTGGGACTGGGTCTCCACATTTGCTGATACCTGTGCATGTCCAGTTGCATGTTGAGGACGTGACGACAAATTCATTTAGGTTAGCAGAGAACGTTGTGTACCTCGTCAAAGGGTGGAGGCAGAACAAGTTGGATCATTCTCCTGGCCAAGCCTTGCAACATGCTGCAGGACGTGAATTCATTAAGGTGGAACTTAGTCAGCCAATAGACTTTGGAAAGATTTTCTCAACTCCAGTGTAGTGAAGCCACCACCAACAAAACTGATGCCATCTCAGAACTATGAAAACCACTCAAGGACCAGGTGTGGTAGCCTATTGGCTAAATCCTAGTCATGCATCCGCCAGGATCCCATATGGATGCTGGTTCGTGTTGCAGCTGCACTGCTACCTATCCAGCTCCCTGCCTATTGCTTGGGAAACTTATAGAGCACGACTCAAAGCCCTGGGACCCTGCACCCATGTGGGGGACCCACAAAAATCTCCTGATTCCTGGCTCCATGGCTCAGCTCTAGCTGCTGCAATCATTTGGGGAGTGAACGAGTAGACAGAAGATCTTTCTCTCTGTTTCTCCTTCTCTGTAAATCTGCCTTTCTGAAAAAATAAATAAATTAAAAAAGGAAAGAAAGGCTGCAGATATGACTTCTGTTTATTAAACAAACAAACAAACAAACAAACAAACAAAAGAGCCTCGGGTAGCACCCCTGCACACATTGGAGTCTCTAGGGTGTTGTCAAATGACAGTCTCATTCCCACGTATTAATGTGGTTTGGCAGTCCCGTCCCCTTCTCCTCCAACCTGCTGCAGCCCTGCAGATAAAGGAGGAAAAAAAAATTGAAACATTTGTCCCACCCAACTTCTTCCATGGCTCTACCCTCCCCACTCTATTCAGAGACATAAATGGGTGTGCTTCCCTCTTAACTATGTAAACAATATTGAAAATAAAAAATAAATAATAGAAAAAATAAAAAGAGAAAAAATGTTTATATTCTTCATTATTTACGTGGGCCTTGGACCATTGGTACTCTTCCACTGTCACTTAACTGACAGTTAACTTTAATATGCCTTACTTTTGTAATTTCTGGTGTGCATACGTTTAGAAGAATATTTATAGAAGTGCAGATTCAATCGGAGTATATTCATCAAGATTGCTTACTTTATGATTAATAAAGCTAATAAGTTCTGTAGCTAGAAGCTGCATATATACATTTTTAGTATGTTTTCAAAACAAAAGATCAGTTACCAAGACAATTTTGAAAAAATACAAAGTGCTAGTGTTTTATTATAATACTTTCTTTTTATATTGCTGCTTTTAGTCTCAGGATATTTGGCTATACTAATAAATGTTTTGTAAAAAATCACTTTAGTTCTTCTTGTTTTCACTCTGAAGACCAATCATTGACTGCCTTTGATTTATTTATTTTCTAAAGGTGTTCTTAAGGATTACCTTAGAGAACTTCCTTCTCCTCTGATAACAAAGCAGCTTTATGAGGCTGTGTTAGAAGCAATGGCAAAAAGCCCTTTGAAAATGTCATCGAATGGTTGTGAGAATGACCCAAGTGACTCTAAGTACACTGTAGACCTACTGGATTACCTGCCGGATGTTGAGAAGGTAAGCATAATTAGTATATATTTTTTCATGGCATTGGTTAATATAGCCAGAGCCACAAATTATTATTATTTTTTTAAGTATTTGACATTTGTGGTATTCCTAACTAGAACTCTGCTTCTATTTTTTTTTTTTTTTTAAGATTTCTTTATTTTTATTGGAAAGTCAGATTTACAGAGAGAAAGAGAGACAAAGGAAGATCCTTTGTCTGCTGGCTTATTCCCCAAGTGGCTGCAACAGCTGGAACTGAGCCCATCTGAAGCCAGGAGCCAGGAGCTTCTTCTGGGTTTCTCACATGGGTGCAGGATCCCAGGGCTTTGAGCCATCCTCTACTGCTTTCCCAGGCCACAAGCAGGAACTGAGTGGGAAGTGGAGCAGCTGGGACATGAACCAGCACCTACTTGAGATCCAGGTGCATGCAAGGCAAGGACTTTAGCCACTAGGCTACTGTGCTGGGCCCTTCTATTGCTTCTAAACACATTGTCTCATTTACATATCTATATCTATCTACCTATGTGTAGGTCATCTATAAAGACTTAAATTAGGCACTAAGTGTAGCATTTTTTGAAAGAAACTTAATGTTAATTACAGTTGTCTTAGGACATTGATAAATGCAAACCTTAAAGAAACCAATAAGGGCAGTTGACTTAAGAGGTAATAAGTTTTACAGAGGAGAGGAGAGGGAACTTGTGGGAGGAGGAAGAAAGAGCCCAGCACCAGCTAAATTGTATCAAAAAACAATGAAAAAAAAGTAATGTTTTATTTATAAGATTTTAGCTTAGGTGCCTGGCACTGTAGTCTAATGGCTGAAGTCCTTGCCTTGCATGTGCTGGGATCCTATATGGGTGCCAGTTCTAATCCCGGCTGCTCCACTTCCCACTCAGTTCCTGCTTGTTGCCTGGGCAAGCAGTAGAGGCCAGCCCAAGGCCTTGGAACCCTGCGCCCACATGGGAGACTGGGAAGATACTCCTGGCTCCTCGCTTTGGATCAGCTCAGCTTGGGCCATAGCAGCCATTTGCAAAGTGAACCATCAGTTGCAAGATCTTTGTTTCCTTTCTGTAAATCTGACTTTCCAATAAAACAAAAAAATCTTTGGAAAAAAACCAAAAATTTTAGCTTAGGCTTGATTGCTTCCTGTGAATTTTTAAGATATATTATTCAAATATTATTTGCAATTTATAGAAAACATGGGAAAGTATAGAAATATAAAATTGCATTTATATTCCAAGACACTAGCAATCAATATTTTGGTATGTTTCCCTCCAGGGTTTTTCAGACACAGTAACTGCTTTGGTATACATGACCTAGCCTAAAAACTTAACCAACACTCTTACCCTTGAAATTACTGTCTCAGAAGAATTTCTAGATTTATTTTGAGACTTTTAACTGATTATTCCCAAATTTTCTTTCTGCCAATATTTCAATGATATCACATTTCTTTCAGCATATATTTTCAATAATATTTTCTTATTGTGCTATTCTGTTTTCTTTGATTTGACTACTTTAAACATTTGTTAGTTGTGGCACAATAGGAAAGCTACTGCCTGTGATGCCAGCATCCCGTATGGGTACTGCCCCAGTTGCTGCACTTCCAATCCAGTTCCCTACTAATCTGCTGGAGAAAGCAGCAGAAGATGGCCCAGATACTTGGGCCCCTGCCACCACATGGGAGATCTGGAAGAAACTCTAGATTTATGGCTTTCGAGTGGCCCAGTTGTGGACACTTGGGGAATGAACCAACAGACTTAAGATGTCTTTCTATTTCTCCTTCCACACCACCATCATTCTTTTTCTCTCGCTCTTTTTAAGATTTATTTATTTTTATTAGAAAGTCTTACTGGCTTTGGATTGGCTCAGTTCAGACCATAGCAGCCACTTGGGGAACTGAACCAGCACAGACAGAAAGAGAAAGAGAAAAAGATCCTCTGTCCGCTGCTTTACTCCCTAAGTGGTCGCAGCAGTTGGAGCCGAACCTGTCTAAAGCCAGGAGCCAGGAGCTTCTTCTGGGTCTCCGACAAGGGTGCAGGATCACAGGGCATTGAACCATCCTTTACTGCTTTCCCAGGCCATAAGCAGGGAGCTGGATGGGAGGTGGAGCAACCAGGACATAAAACAACACCTATGTGGAATCCTGGTGCTTGCAAGGTGAGGATTTAGCCACTGAGACATCATGCCTGGTTCCTCACTCTGGCTTTCAAATAAGTAAATCTTTAAGAAATATTCTGCCTTTTGAAAATCTGTCTTTCATAACTTGAAGAAGTATACAACTTGCCTGTGTTCTGCAATAGTTATTTTTAGATTTAAGATTGTCGTTCCAACTTACAACTACATGATTTACCTGTACTTAAAATAACCCCCATTTACCCTAAGCTGCACAGCCTTTTTTGTTGTCATTTTATAGAAGGGAAGAGAACAAAATGATGATGCATTTTCCCAGGGACTCCAGCTGAAATTTGGATTGTATCCATAAGCATTTTTGTACAAAGTACATGGTCTAGCCATTTAATTATGTTATTGGAATGCATTTTAGGTTCTGTGTTATGTTTCTGCAGGAAATTTTGTTTCAGGTTCCAAACATCTGATTTATAAGCAAACCTTTGAAATACCTTTGAAAGTAAGGGGATGCTTCTCTGTATTTTCTGATATAATTTGTGTCCTTGAATTTGCCCTTCTATGACTGTTATGTTAATTTAAATTAATCTAGGCAACCCTAAAGATGTTGTTGGATCACTTGAAACTTGTGGCTTCTTTCCATGAAGTGAATAAAATGACCTGCCAGAATTTGGCTGTGTGCTTCGGACCAGTGTTGTTAAGTCAGAGGCAAGAGACTTCCACCCATAACAATAGAGTCTTTACTGATTCAGAAGAACTTGCAAGTGCTTTGGATTTTAAAAAACATATTGAAGTTCTTCATTATTTACTACAACTTTGGCCAGGTAAATGATTCTTTGGAAATATTTTTCTCTTTTGATGATAGAGTGTTCAATATGCCCCTCTATGATTCAACAATATGTTAACTAAATTTTGCTTTTTTTTTTTCAAATATGAAATTGTACTGGCCGTTAAGTGTTTTCTATTTTAGCTTACAGTACTTGCTGATAATTTTATGGACATATAGATCAATGCACATTTTAGACATGATTGATATGATTTTAAATCCTGGTTTTGCTACCTGTTAGCAATCTGATCTTGGATAAGCTCCATCTTTGATCCTCAGCTTTATCTTTTGTTATATAATCTTAAAAAATTTATTTCTAGATTGTGCATGAAGATTAAACAAAAGGTTTTGTGTGTAAGGTGCTCAACACATCTCTTGATACACAATAGATACTAAATATTTTTTAGTTTTCTCAATTTTAGTTTAATTAGTATGAAGCAGAATTCATGCTTCTCCTTAACTCAGTTCTTCCCCTTGATATCTTTACTGTATGTCCTGGTTACCCTTTAAGTTATTCCAGATTGAACTGGTAATTATTTTTGATTTAGCTTTCATTATCCATCCATTATTCCACTCAGTATCCAAAGGTTGACAGTTATTTTCCCAAAAACACCTCTTATATATTTTCAGCACTTAAAGAAATGTATATTTAATTTTAATTAAGGACCAACAAGGATCCTGTATTTAAGCTCCACGATGTTTTGATTGTGTAGTGTTCCCTGCTTGCCTTGCCCACACTGCACTGGACCACTGTGAAAGGACTGAGGTGCTTAACGTAAAGTATTCAGCTTTGAGGTCAACCAGGATTCAGGTTTGAACTGTGACACTTGACTGCAGGGTGGGTTCAGCTTCTCTAAGCTTTAGTTTCTTTTTACGTAGAGCTGATGTCAAGATTATTGTGAAGATTGAGATAAACAGCACCTAAAGCAATGGCCAAAGGGTTTTTGTCAAGTGAGCCCTTCATAAATACTCTTTGTTGCTCCTTTATTGGTATATATGAGAAGGAAAGACCAAAGTGCAAAGCAGTGATTGATCTAGTCTTCTTAAATTTTATTTTACTTCTTTTTTGTTAATCAAAAGGCAAGGAGGGACACACAGAGAGAAAAATATAAAGAAAGAGGGAGGTCTTCCACCCATTGGTTCACTTCCTTTAATACCTGCAGCAGTCGGGGCTGGAGCTGGCCAAAACTAGGAGCCCAGAACTCAATGAGGGTCTTTCACTTGAGTGCCATACACACACACTGCAGTCATCTCAATCCCATAGGGTACAGACTCACTGTTTTTGTAGGAGATAATGATAATATTAACTCAGTGTTGCCCATCTCTCTGCATTCCATTGAAGACTTTGGCTTTGTTTGATGTGTACTGTAGTTTTGCAATTTTTCTCACTAAAAAGCATTTTAATTTTATTTTGTGATATATTTTATTTTGCATATGTTAACTTTAGCCAAGGAGATACTTTGGTTAGAGGTTTCTGTTCAAAAGCCCCAAGTCATCAGAGTAGTTCGAACCCTAGCACAATAGTGATACAAGTTAAAAGTCATGTTACCAATAGTTTATCAAGTTATTTTCTCACAAGCCCTCAGATTCTGTTTTTGGCAAGTGATTTTGGAGCCAACTTAATGAGAGATAGGGAATAGAAAGGAAACATATTTATCTGTTGAACAGGACAGTATTTTTTTTAATCTGTTATATGTTTTCATAAAACTTCTTCTTTTAAAAATAGGTTTTTTTTGTTTTAAGAATGCTGAAAACTAATAGGTCACTCTTAGTTTATAGATAAGAAAGTAGATTTCGAGATAACGTAACTTGTAGAACTTTGCTGCACCGTGTTTTCCATGATGAATAGCCTGTACACAGTTTTTAGAAGTGATATCCACTTTCTGTAATCCTTTTTATTTCATCCCCCCTCCCCCTAATTATAAATTTCATGAGGTTAGGGAACATATTTTACTTATCACCTATATCCTAGACTTTAGAAAATTAGTTGGTAACTAGTAACTCAACATATTTCTGTCAAAGTAATTAGAATATAGAAGCTAATAGAATAAAACTACTATGTTGGTAGAAAAAAGCAGTTTTAACACATTTTGAATTTATTTTTCTTAAAAAAAAAAGATTGATTGATTTGAGAGGCATAGTAATAGAGACAAAAGGAGAGACAGAGATCAAACCTGCTTTTAGCCAGTTCACTTTTGAAACGGCCACAACAGCCAGATCTGGGCAGGGCTGAAGCCAGGAACTCCATCTTGTTTTCCCACATGGGTTGTAGGCACCCAAGCACTTAGGCCGTCTTCCACTGCTCTAAAAGATGCATAAACAGGAAGCTGAACTAGAAACAAAGCAGCCAGAACTTAAACTGGTGCTGGGGTGTAGGAAGCTGATGTTTCAAATGGTGGCTTAACCTGCAATGTCTGCCCTCAGGTGATTTTTTTTGAAATTTAATTTATGTCTAAAAGGCATAAAATGTCAGTTTAAATTATTTGCTCTATAGAAGTTTGGGCCTGGCATGGTGGCCTAGCGGCTAAAGTCCTCAACTTGGATGCACCAGGTTCCCTTAGGGGCCCCGGTTCTCATTCCAGCGGCCCCACTTCCCATCCAGCTCCCTACTTGTGGCCTGGGGAAGCAGTTAAGGACAACCGAAAGCCTTGGAACCCTGCAACCATGTGGGAGACCCGGAAGAGGGTCCGGGTTCCTAGCTTTGGATTGGCTCAGCTTTGGCTGCTACAACCACTCGGGGAGTGAATCATCAGATGGAAGATCTTCCTCTGTCTCTCCTCCTCTCTGTATATCTGACTTTGCAATAAAAATAAATAAATCTTTAAAAACAACAGCAATTTATCGGAGTTGATCATGTGCTGCTGCAGATTAGGACATTACGATCCTGGCCTCCCATGAGAGTACTGGCTCAACTCTTGGTGCCCTGTTTCTAATATGGCTCCTTGCTCATGCACTTGGGAAACAGTGGAGGTTGGTTCCAGTGCTTGGGCCACGCCACCCATTTGGAAGACTCAGATACAGTTCCAATCTTCTGATTTAGTCTTGGCCCAGCCTTCTTCATTATGGGCATTGAGGAGTGAAACAGCAAATGGAAGACACCTTTTTCTTATTCCTCCCTATTCCCCACTGTACCTCTGCCTTACAAGTAAACAAGTAGATCTTTTAAAGTATGATCAACTTAGTGATTTCTGAAATACATTCAAGAAAATATACAAAATGTTTAAATAGGTTCTTGACTAGAAGCAACCTTAGGCAAGTAGCAACATAGTGAATCGAAGTTTTTAGAAGATTGTATTTATTTCCATTTTATTTGAAAGGTAGAAACAGTCACAAAGAAAACGTAATCTGCTATTTCACTCTCTAAATGACCCCAACAGCCAGGGCTGGGTGAGGCCAAAGCCCTGGGAGCTCATCCTGGTCTTGCCACGAAAGTGAAAGGGACTCTTATCCACTGTTTTTCAGGGTGCATATTAGCAGAAAGTTGGCTCTGAAGTAGAGCTTACACCAGGCACTCTCACCTAGGATGCTACTGCACCAATGGCCTGTCCCGTGATTATGGGTTTTTGCAAGCACACTAAGATAACTAGAGGGAATTACAGAATACTCTAATTGGTGGGTGAAAACAACAGACATGACAGTTAAACACTAAAAAAAGCAAGAACATGCTGACGGGAAAAATGTGAGGAGACAATGAAGATAAGCTGGAGATAAAGGAATAGGAATAACTAAATTCTACAAATATTCAGATACCAGTTTGCAATTACATCAATTAATGGAATGGAACATTCTATACTAATACTGATGTTAAAGATCAGTCTAATAAATGGTTTTTCTAGAAAATTTCAAATCAAGAATTTTTAGCTCTATAATGACTTATGATCATCAACAATTAAAAAATAAAAAACAGAAATGATTATAAGACATAACTAACAGAAAATTATGTGACCTCTGAAATATGTTAAGAATCTCACTTTAAGTCTAGGAAACTAAAACCATATACCTTTGTGTAGTTTTCATTTGTATTATTTTATACAACTGCATGCAAACATTCATCATGTGTTGAGAGTGTAAAGTTGAATTGTTATCACTGATTTATGTTCCATTTATCTCGGTGAAGAGAAATATAAAAGGAGAGACATTTATTAATGGAGAATAAACAAGCAGAAACAGAAAGATATAAAATTGTATTAGCTGTGTTTCAGCATTTTAAATTGTCTTTTTTATACAGAAAAACCTTAGATAAATATTTTGCTAAGTATACATGAGTAATCAATAAAGCTTTGAGTTATTATGAAGTAATTTTATGGTAATCTACTATATTTCCATCACAATACACAGATTAAGACAATATTACAGCTAGCATGGAATGTTATTCGGAATTTTTAAATATGTCTTCAGAATGGGAAAATAAAATATCTGTACTATTTTCAGGCAATTAACGAAGACAATTAGTAATTAATGCTGTATAATGAAACTCAGGTAACAAGTGGTCAAGTTTAGCATTCATGCATTTTATCAAAATGAAATTTGGGCTGCTTCATAAAGTAAATTATGTCACTGCTGCTAATAGAATTGCAAAAAAAAAAAAAAAGCCCACAAAAGTCAGAATTTCTACAGTGATCACTTTAGATGCCTTTGCCTCTTTTAGATGTTTGCAGACAAAGGAAATTTTTGTTTTGGTTTCTTTTGTTTGTTCACCAATATGCCTTGCCTGCTTTTTGCTATAGCTTTTAATTTAGGAGAAGCTACCAGCTTAGCTACTCTTTGAGTTATAGCTAGTCAATAATTAACTTGCACAAAAAAATTAATCAACATTGAAATTTTGTTCTGTTTTGATACATTATTATATAGCATGAATTAGCACCACTGAACATTCTACTAGCTTCTATCCCTAATCTTGATTATGTGTGGTGGTAGGAAAAATAACTATGGAATGCTTTCTATCGATAGTGTGCATGTTTTTGTCGTAATGCATGCTTGTAGTTGATTATTAAATGGCTTATCTTTAGCGCTGTTTTGTTAAGGCCAGTTGGATTACTGTCAATAAAGCAAACTTATTGTTCACTTGTAGTGCAACGTTTAACTGCCAAAGAATCAACAGACCATTTGTTCCCTGAGCAGACGTCTTCTCTGCATTATTTGAGGCGGAAGAAAGAGCGGCCTTACATGTTAAATCTGAGTGGAACTGAATCGCTGGGAGTCCTCAGGCCAAGGCAAGCCAGATTAGACAGTCCGCTTAGCAATCGCTATGCAGGAGACTGGAGCAGCTGTGGAGAAAACTATTTTTTAAATACAAAGGAAAATTCAAGTGATGCAGATTATGATCATGTGCCTTCAGATGAAAGGGAAATTGCAGAAGACTATGGCAAAATGAATGGACCTGAGATAATGATTGAACAGCCGGTTTCCATGCCCAAAGAGTGTGCATTTCAGACGTATTTGACAGTACAGACCATTGAGTCCACAGTGGATCGAAAAGCCAACCTCAAAGATCTACAAGAAAGCATTGATATTTTGATTGGCAATCTGGAACGTGAACTCAACAAGAACAAACTTAATATAAGTGTTTGAGATTGATGGGGTTTTATTTATTTGTTTTTTTTAAATAATATCTTTAAAATTTATATCAGTCTTTATTTTGTTAAACCTCCTCAGTGATTTTTTTTTTTACTCGCAAAACCTTCCGTTGATTTCTACATTAATGTGATTTAATTAAAAAAAACTGTTAGCTGATGTGATTTTTATGGATGGTATCAGGAAATTGTTCTGGGGATAAAGATAACATGGGTATTTTAATAAATCTTGCCAACTCTATGGAGCTAAGTTTCAAATGTATCTAAAAGGTTTGCATAAGTCCTTGGCCCATCCAGGTTTTTGTTACTTCTAGGAATTGCTTTTACATAGCTGAAGCCTGTTCCTTTCAGTGCAGCTGCTCCATCTGACTTGAGATCTGAGTCAGTGCCAGCATCATTGGGTCACATTTCATTTGCAATGAAAATGCTGCTATGAAAAATATGTTTATAAATAAGTGTGAAATTATACACATATTTAATGTATTCTGTATTGACACTCAGTAATTATTTAAGCTTATAAAATAAATATTTTTATAATCCTGAAAATATGTATATAACTCCAAGTGTATATATATATATATATATACATAGGAACATATATATAAGAACTAGGACAAGGGAAGGGATTCACCTATAGAATCACATATGTCTTTGAAATATATATGTCATGAGGCCAAAGTTACTAGTTTAAAATGTCTTTTTGGGGGAAGGACATTTGATTTAAACATTGTTATAAAAAGACTTGAACAAAGACATTCTAGAAGCATCTTAGTAAAAATAATAAACTGGTGTTTCATATTGAATAATAGACACAGTATCTTCTGTAAAAAGTCATCTTTTAAATTGAAATAGTCTTTCTCCTTAAAGGATCATCTCTGCACTGATGACCTAGATTTGAAAATACCTTCGTCTGTTCTGTGCATTTTTGTATTTTCTAAATATTTATTACTAGTGACAAATTTATAATGTTGGCTTTATAGTCCCCCTTACTTGTTTCTAAAGAAAGCATTTTGCCAGCATTCTATTCTTACCAGTTCTTTAAAAATAACTTATTTTGTCTGTGTATGATAGTTATCATAGCAGTCACAGAAAAGTTTGAAAATGTAATTTTAGACTTCACTTTTATGCTACAAAACATGCAATTGAAAAATTAGAAATAAAACTAGAATTACTAACTTAAAGGTGTAGCAGCCATTAAATTAGACTTCTGATGTTTTTCTAAATATCAAAGTATTTATTTCTTTGCAGTATTCAGTGACAAGCAGAATAACATTATTTAATTTGAAATCCTGTTGATAAAAAGAGAGATGTTTTTATACGAAAATGTAGTATTTTTAAATTTTTTGTAATAATTCAGCAAAATGCCAAAACAGTATGTGAGTGGTTTATGTGTTGGTAAATAAGCGAAAGAAAGTACTTTGAAATGTTGTGTAGAAAAACGGTTTTCTTCCATTTATTTACTCTATCATATGTATCGTGTGATATGAATAAGTTGTTTCGGAGATGTGTTTTGTAAAAACATTATTATCTTGATAAAGCTATTAATTATAATACTTTTTAATGATCACTTATTTTAATATTCCTTTTAAAAATTATTATTATTTAAAAATATATATTTATTTTATTTGAACAGCAGATTTTACAAAGAGAGGAGAGATGGAGAGAGTAGTCTTCCATCTGCTGGTACACTCCCCAGATGGCCACAACAGCCAGAGCTGAGCTAATCTAAAGCAGGGAGCCAAGAGCTTCTTCCTGATCTCCCTCTAGGGTGCAGGGGTAGCTAAACTCCACTGTCTACCCAGGCCATAAGCAGAGAGCTGAATCTGAAGTGGAGCAGTGGGGACATGCCTATATGGGATGCTGGTGCTAGCAGATGGAGGATTACTCACTATACCAGCGTGCTGACCATTATATTGTTATTATTATTATTATTATTACTTTAAAATCTATTTGAAAGAATTGTTCAGAAAGAGAGAGAACCCTCATCCACTAGATTCCTCCCCAGATAGCCATAGTGGCCAGAGCTAGACAGAAGCCAGGAGCTTCTTTCTGGTCTTGCCTGTGGGTGTAGGGGCCCAAACTCTTGGACATCTTCCATTGCTCTCCCAAGTGCATCAACAGGGAGCTGGAGCAGAAGGTGTGACAGGTGGAGGCTCAACATGCTGCCTGGTGATATCAACCCTTAATAATCTTTTTGTAACGGAAGTATTGTTGTGCCATTATACAGTATCCTTAAGTATGTTTTAACATTTATTTGTCCAAAATTGAATTTTACAAAATACCTTTAAGTCTGTGCTATGTTGTTGTATTATCATATCATTTTGAGTGGGAAATGTTTTAAAAATAATCTTTGCTGTCCTAGAGAATTCTAAAGATTTTGGTTGTCATAGCCAAGTCATTGTTATGAACATCTTTTATGGACTCTGCTGAATACAGAATTGCTAAATAAGTCTAAGTGCCTTTAAATAGCCTTTTACTTTAAACCCTTTTTGAGTTTTTATACCTGCAGGCTAAATTTTCTGGGAGCTTCCTACTCTATCAGATTCTCATCTGTTGTTCCCTGTGACCTTATGAGTTCTAATGTTTATAGGAAGAGAAAACAAATTTAACTTTGGTGCATATACCTGAATAAAAACAACCCAGATGGTTGGAAAATAGAAAAATAAAACTATCGTTCCCTGTCCCCTACAGCAGTGCCACTTGTCAGGAGTGACAGCATTTGTTGTTCTTCTATCAGTTAAAGTAGGATCTGTTCGTTGTCCATTATGAGCAAGCGACTTATGCCATTTCTTTTCATTGTTTTTGTTAGTTAAATTCTTGGTAGTTTTTGGCTTCCTTTATAACTTAATAATTTGTATCTTTTGAGAAACTATGTGACTTTCATTTATCCTGTACTGATTCTAAAAGCTGCCAATCAGGAACAGTTACTCTAGATTATGTAAAGTATTCATGGGTAAGCCAGGTGATTTATTGTCTTATACATCCATCTTAGATCATTAGGTCTGTACTTATTTAAGCAGAATATTCCATCTTCAGGGTCAAATGGAGTCCTTTCTCTTGTAGCCATTAACTTTTCCAAATCATGCCCTATGTTATTGCTTAATAATTAAGTCATGGCTATTGCAGTTTTAATTTTTTCCTGGAGTATGTGATTGCTTTGTGAAGCCCTTAAAAAAATTGTTTTCTTTATGATTTCTTCTTCTAATCATGTTTACCAAATTTGCCAGGGTACCTTTAGTCCTCATTCTGGGACTGCTGACCTACATATTTATCTTTATTTTCTTCAACAAAAGGAAAACACATTCTTCACTTTAACTCTGATTATACATCTTAATCAACTTTACCCAATATTGGGCAAAATGATTATTAACAATCATTCCGGGGAATGTTTTCTTTGTACTGCTATGTTGTACATTTGTTGTTGTTTTGAGTTTCATATTTTGAATCTGTTTCTTAGTTTGGGCATTTACAAGTGTTGTTTTACCTCTGGAAGTGGCACATGGTAGATAAACTTTGTATCTTCGCGCTTCATTTTGATTAGACCTAAAGTTCTGTGTTCAAACTCATTTTCTACTCCAGTTTTGCAGCCATTAAGGCTAGCCAGATGGTCATTTAGACTAGGGAAAAAGCAACAGATGTGATCAGAAATGGGCATATCTTTTTCTTTTGATTTTTATTTATTTATTTATTTGAAGGCAGAGAGAAAGATCTTCCATCTGCTCATTCCCCAAATGCCCATGAACACCTTGGATCAAACTGTGCCACCCAGGACCCTGGAATGCCCTCTGAGTCTACCTTGTGGGTGGCAGGAGCCCAGCTGCTTACAAGGTGCACATGATCACTGCAACCTCACAGGGTGCACACTAACAGGAATCTGAATCAGGAGTGGAGCTTAGACTCAAACCCAGACACTCCAGTTTGTTATATGGTTTCCCAAGTAGCATTTTAACTGCTATAGTCAACACTGCTCCTATGGTTTTATATTAAAGAAGCCAAAAGAATATGTCAGGACTATGAAATGAGTTCTGAGCATTCAAAAGATGGAGTTGTATAAGTTGTAATTGAAATGACTTCGTGTTTTTTAAATGAATTTGTAGGGGTCAGAGTTGTGGCTCAACAGATTAAACTGCTGTTTATGATGCTGGCATCCTACATTGGGGTGCCAATTTGAGTGCTAGCTGCTTTGCTTTTTTTTCTTTTTAAGGTTTATTTCTTTTCATTGGAATATCAGATTTACAGAGAGAAGGAGACAGAGAGAAAAGATCTTTTGTCCGCTGGTTCACTCCCCAAGTGGCTGTAGCAGCGAGAGCTGAGCCAATTTGAAGCCAGCAGCCAGGAGCTTCTTTGGATCTCCCACATGAGTGCAGAGTCCCAAGGCTTTGAGCTGTCTTTGTCTGCTTTGCCTGACCACAATTAGGGAGCTGGAAGGGAAGTGGGGCAGCCGGAACATAAGCTGGTGCCCATTTGGGATCCTGGCACATGCAAGGCAAGAACTTTAGCCACTACACTACTGTGCCAGCCCTACTGCTTTGCTTCTGATCCAGCTCCCTGCTCATGTGCTTAGTAAGGCAGCAGATGATGGTCCAGATAGTTTGACCCGAGGCATCCACTTGGAAAACCTGGGTTGACTTCCTGGTTCTTGGCATTGGCCTGGCCCAGCCATGGCTTTTGTTACCATTTGGGGCATGAGCCAGTGAATGGAAGATTCTCTCTCTCTGCCTTTTAAATATATCTTTTAAAGATAAAAATTCATTGAATGTTATAATTATTAATACAGTACTTAGCAAATGCCTCATAGTTTTCTACTGGTTTCTTATATTGCTGAGCTAATAAAACAAGACTTCATGTTTGTCTGAGTCTCATATAATAAATGAGATTTGCAAAGCTTCACATTTTAAATATTTAGGGATATTAAAGAAACCAGTTGTGGTACAGGTACTGTTTCTGAAAAAATTTTGTGCCTAGAACACAGGATGTTTTAAAAGAATAGGATATTACAATTTAAAAACAATTTTGGGGTACTTTGGTATGATAAGGTAATTTTGTTTA